GCGAGCCTCGCCCTGCCCGGCGCCGCCGCCCCACGGAGCTCGGCGCAGCTCTGCGCTCTCGGTGGGGCCTTTTTGTGCCTCACAAGCTGACGACCGCGTGAACTTCCAGCCTGACGCCAGGGAAAACGGGTCACAGGGTAACTCAGCCGGCCCCACGTGGGAAACGGTGCCCCGGGCACACCAGGCCAACGCCCCTTGACGGCCACGCCGGGGCTGGAGGGGCCGGCGCTGCTGGCCTGCTGGCGGGTTAATGCTGCCCGCTCCAGTCCGTCAAAAACGCTGCAAGTTTCAACCAACTGGACTGAGACTTGCCAAGGGCCAGAGTCCCGGCCGCCAGCCCCTGCCCTGGGGATGATGGCAGCAGGGGACACCCACAGCACAAGGCGGCCCTCCAAAGCCCCGCGGCCCCAGTCTCCTGGACACTGACCACAGACCCTCAGATGGACCTGGGTGTGCAGCCAGACCGCCGGGCTGGCTGCACTGACCTGGGAAGCCCATGGTGCACTCCCGCCCTGTGATGGCCTCCAGGGGCCCCCCCGGGCGCACTCCCGCCCTGTGATGGCCCCCAGGGGCCCTCCGGGCTCACTCCCACCCTGTGATGGCCTCCAGGGGCCCTCCGGGCTCACTCCCGCCCTGTGATGGCCTCCAGGGGCCCCCCCGGGCGCACTCCCGCCCTGTGATGGCCTCCAGGGGCCCCCCCGGGCGCACTCCCGCCCTGTGATGGCCTCCAGGGGCCCCCCCGGGCGCACTCCCGCCCTGTGATGGCCTCCAGGGGCCCCCCCGGGCGCACTCCCGCCCTGTGATGGCCTCCAGGGGCCCCCCCGGGCGCACTCCCGCCCTGTGATGGCCCCAGGGCCCCTCCGGGCCTGCAAGAGGGTCCCTGCCCTAGAGGCTGCCCACGGCCGCCGGCCTGACCGCAGACAGGCGTCTGACTTTGCTCGTCCTCAAATAAATCCGCGTCTTTCTACTCTCCGCCCAATGTGCCTCCATGAGAGGGGCGCGCAGAGGACACCGAAAGGGCGAGTGGGGGACCTGTGGGGGGAATCTCCTCTGAGGAAGCCGGGGAGCCTGGGCATAGCAGGGTTCCCCCAGCTGGGGTGGGGTGCTGGGGAGCTCAGCGGGGGCAGCAAGTGGTGGCAAGGATTCTGTGCAGAAAAACCAGGTTGGGAGCCTCCTGCCCGCCCCGCCCCGCCCCCTGTTTCCTTGACCCACTTTTCCCTTCTTACCCCAAAAGAGACCCATCAGCGGCGTCCCCGGGCCCCTTTCCAGGACACAACAATATGACTCTGACCTTGCAACAGCGGGCCCTGCCGGGTCCAGGGGTCGTGGGTCGTGTCCAGGGCACCCAGACGAGGCGAAAGGGCAGGATGGCCCCGTGGGCGGCGGGGTGCAGGTGGGGTGCTCGGCGAGGCCCCCCA